ATACACATACACATACACATACACATACACATACACTACACATACACATGCACATGCACATGCACACGCACATACATACACATACATACACATACACATACACATACACATACACATGTACATACACATGCACATACATGCACATGCACATGCACACGCCCATACATACACATACACATACACATACACACACACATACACATATACATACACATGCACATACATACACATACACATACACATACACATACACATACACATACACATACACATACACATACACATACACATACACATACACATACACATACACATACACATACACATACACATACACATGCACATACACATGCACATGCACATGCACACGCACATACATACACATACATATACACACACATATGCACGTCCACCCCACACACCCTGATGCGCTGCAGCAGGCGTCCCTGGTACTCCTGGATGGCTCCCCAGATGCGGTCGCGCACTTTGAGTGGCGAGTACTTTGAGAAAATGCGGAACATTTCCTGCGACGTCTCAGCCACTGCCAACTGCTCACGGAATTTGGCGGCAATGCCCGTCTCAATCTAAGGACAACGCGTGCGCAATGGGTGAGTGGCTGGAAGGGTGGGTGTGTGTAGGTGAGGTGTGGTTGATGGGTGTATCAGTAGGTGTGTGTATAGTTGAGGTGTGGTTGAAGGGTGTGTGTGTAGGTGAGGTGTGGTTGAAGGGTGTGTGTGCAGTTGAGGTGTGGTTGAAGGGTGTGTGTTTAGGTGAGGTGTGGTTGAAGGGTGTGTGTGTAGGTGAGGTGTGGTTGAAGGGTGTGTGTGTAGTTGAGGTGTGGTTGAAGGGTGTGTGTGTAGTTGAGGTGTGGTTGAAGGGTGCGTGTGTAGGTGAGGTGTGGTTTAAGGGTGGGTGTGTAGGTGAGGTGTGGTTGAAGGGTGGGTGTGTAGTTCTAAGATCTGCTTCGGAAGTGACACAAACACTGGGCCATGACGTACAATGTACATTGCGCGGGGTGTGTACACACAGGTGCAAAGCCTTTCGCCTATGTGGTGTAAGATCCAAAACTAACGTTCCCATGCCCAGTGTAGGTTAGACTCACACGTTGTCGTTTCTGCAGCATTTGTGTAGGGTGGGGTGTGCGTGGCGCATGACACAATGCCTTATGACTACTTATCCCATCTGTGGGTGTGACTGTTGCTTGTGACTACCTATCCCATCTGTGGGTATGTCTATTGCCTGTGTAGGGTGGGGTGTGCATGGCACATGACCCACTGGCTTATGACTACCTATCCCATCTGTGGGTGTGACTGTTGCTTGTGACTACCTATCCTATCTGTGGTTTATGTCTATTGCTTGTGTAGGGCTGGGTATGCGTGGTACATAACCCAATGGCGTATGTATGACTCACCTGATCGATCTTCTTGTTGTAGTCGTCTTCGGCGGCTTGCACTGTGCGATGGGTTTGTGGGGAGGGTCGAGTGGTTGAGTGGTTGAGTGGCAGCTGGTGTGATATGTGCTCAGCAAACAACTAGGTGAGCGGGAAGTCCAGTGTTGTATGGTGGGTTGGACTGATAGAGTAGGTATGGTAGGTATATTCTTCAAATAAAAGTCTCTGCAGTTTTGTACTTGACACTATTAAGGTTGAGCTCATCCACGGATTCAATACATCACCACCCCAACACTCACACACTCACACACACTCACTCACTCACACACACTCACTCACTCACACACACACACACACCTGCTTTGGACCCTTCCAAAGACACATCGGTCATATCCACTGTCAAGAACCGCTCGTACGCTTTGTCGATGCCCGCTGCCTTGTCACCTGCACGTGTGAGCACACAGACAGCATTGATGTTAGTAGCCGAAGGCGGAGGATGTGCCAAAAGCCAATCCACACTGACATATGCCACAGTTAACTAACTGAGCTCAAGGCTACAGCATGTCGGTATGGGTTGGATCATAACATCCAGATGAACAGACTACTCAGCAGCGCACATAAGAGCCTCTTACAGGCGAAGAAAGGGTTCTATTCTCCACACACAATAGTTTTCAAACAGAAAATACACAATACAGCAACAGAAAAGATTCGCATACTTAAACGGACCCTTTCATAGAAGCACCACAGAAAATATGCAGCATGCATGATGTATGAAAGCCTACTATAATATAGATGAACGCATGAATCTATTGTCGATATCAATATAT